TTCGATTATTAATAATAATAATTGTATAATAATTATTATAATATAGTTATTATAATATAATAATTATTATACAATTATTATAATCAAGAAACTTCTAATAATATTATACTTCGTATAATAATTATTGTACCAATATATATAATATAAATATTACTATACTAATAATTATATTATAGAAACTTCTAGTAATAATAATTATTATAATCGAGAAACTTCACACACAATAACCGAAAAGAAAATAGTTGTTATTTTTAGTATCGTTATTCGAAAATAAAAATAACATCGATTCATTTGAGACAGGATGATGAACCAAGTGGTAAACTGAAAATTTACCAGAAGAAAAGACATCGAAAAATACAACGAACAACAAGATTTTATTTTATGAAATCTTCACAACTGTCCGTTTAAATCAATGGCCTGTTCGCAAAGAAATAATCTGTCCTGCGATTACCGGGTCATTTGGACCTAGCGTGTATTCAAATCGTCGCCTAATTAGTTCGGCGATTCGATGAAGCAAGTGTCTGTCGCGCTAGGAACAACAGAAAGATTAGCAAGTTTGCGCGAAGTATCTTCGAAAATATGTTTGGAAAAATGTCTGAATAACGCCATGAATCGTCACGAACATCGTCATTTGTACAGTTGCGAGAATAGTCCGCCATCCAGGGGGTTAAATTTTCATATTCTATTATTTTATTTATGTTTTCAGCACAAAAACGTACCGCGTCTCGTTCGATAAATACAAATGCATGTCGTCGTATCGACGACATCAAAACCTTACACCCGATTTCAGAAATTACAAACACGGAATTCGATGGTGTACATAACAAACGATCAAGCTATACTGTTCAGATTTTTCCATTACTCGAGCCTTCGACACACGATCTAATTCTCTCTAGGAAAATATTTCGGGTTTTTTAAAAAAAAGTCCTCGAAATTAATCAATCCCCCAAAGGGTTAAAAATACCGGAACGAAAGGAACGAAAGCCGCGGCGATCGGTGACTGTCTCCGCTACCCCTATCAATTTTTAACCCATTGACTGCCACGGAAATTTTGCGCGTGTTGCCCTGGGTGCCACGGTTTTGTTTGAAAGAAAACACGAAGTTTTACAAAATATAATAATATCAAGTGTTACTGTGATATAATATATTATAATATTATAATAAAAAATATTATTATTATAATATAATATTATATTATATTATATAATATGATATAAAATATAATATTATATTATAATATGATATAATATAATATAATATTGCAATGGCATTAAAAATTGATAATCAATACGTTCTCCACGCTATATACATTTTTCATTCATCCTTTCTAATACTTCCTAATACTCAAATAGCCATTTGTAGCCAATCTAAAGTTGCAGCACCCACTGCGAGATATCTCGTAGCTGGCAGTTTCGATACAGAAACTTACTTACTACGAGAAACGGTATAGAAATGTGTGCGCGCAAAGGTTCCAATAAAATTGTTGATTCGCCGGAGCACTCTTGTCGTGAGTATCGGGCGCGTGCGTTGCGCGGGGGGTGGGGGGATGCGGAACGAAAGAATACAGATGGAAACAATGGCGACTTACCGGCGGCGCGATGAGGCCTCCTCGCCCAGTCGTCTTCGATCAAGGGCGCGACCCTTCGTGCACGCAACGTCGAAGGGCAGGAGACGACGACGAGCAAGATCGACAAGAGAACACCGTGGCAATGCATCTCGGCAGCTTTCGGTCCTATCTCGCAGCTAGTTCTCTCTCTCGCTCTCGCGCGCTCTCCTCGCTCGATCTCCTCGTCTCTCTTCGCCTATCTCCGTCTCGCTCGTGCCCGCGTATATATCTCCTATTTCGCTTTCTCGTCCCTGGGCACTTGGTGCTTCAACGCATATAGCGTGTCCCCCGTCTCGGTTCCACCTTTCGCGTGTCTCGCTCTTCTTTTCTATTTGTATCTCTTTTTCTCTCTGCCGATTCCCCCGCCGTCTCTTTCTCGCTCACGCCCGCGTCACCGTCCGTGCGTCGGTCTCTGTCGCCGGAGCCGCGGCCACTGGTCTATTAACGACCGTTCACTGCACGAAACTTTCTGCACTGTACGCCACTCTGTACGATCTCGCACCACCTTCAATCTTCTCTCGCGATCCTAACGCGACACACTCGGAGGAGAATACGACGACACGAAGGGAATCGTGAAACGTGAACGCGACGACAATAACGAAAACGACGACGACAACGACAACGACGATGACCACGATGACCACGAAGTCGACGACAAGCGCACGACAATACGCGGAGGCAGATCGCGAACGTGCACGATAATGATTAGAAAGAATCAGCGGGCCGAGAGCCCGTGCTAGCCGCAATATTTACTGCAGATAACGCGCGAGCTGTATCGTGCACCGGCCGAGACACGTTCAACGAGCGCATCCGACGGCTTAATAGGCTAAGGTACACGCAGGATCGTTATTCTTTCGTTCCCCGTTTTTCTCTCTCTCGATCTCCCTCTCTCTCTCTCCCTCTCTCGCTCTCTCTCTCTCTCTCTCCCGTTCTCACCGCCTGCCTCCCGATCTGTCTATTCGTCTCTCTTCTTTCTCTCGTGGTCGATCTCTTTTTTGCTATCCTTCTTTCTCTCTTTTAGCCGAGCGTGTGCACACAGAGAGTTCGTACACGGGCTGCTTGTCTCTCTCCGTCCCCCGCCGCCTCTCTCCCCCCGTGGCTGCACGGTCGCGCGTTCTGTGTTACTGCGCGCGCGTTTTATAAGGCGGTACACAACGAGCGACGAGTTCCGAACGACCAGAGGGACACGAGAGACCCCGGCGCGGCTCGCTCTTCTCGCAGCTTCTTCCTTCCGTCTTCTTCCCTCCGTCGCGACCGTTCTCAACGGCCGTGCACCGCGCGCGCACCTCCTCGCGACGCTCTCGTTACCATAGACCGTGCGGCGTGTCCGCCGATTTGCCGAACCGCCGGCGCAACAGTCCCGAACGGAACCGAAGTGCGCGGAGCGGCAGCGTAGACCGAAACCCGTGCGTCGCGTGCTCGCCGCAGCCGGGACTCGTCGAAACGCGGCCGGATCGCGGGCGAAATACAGAGTCTCGATCGACGACGATGAATCGATCTCGTCCACCAAAACAGCAGATCAGCCTGGCGCGTCGTAACTGTCGAAGACCTCTCTCTCTCTATCTGTCTCTTTCTATCTCTTCGTTTCCCGTGAGCGCCTGTGTAACCTGTGTGTCTGTGTGTGTGTCCGTTAGACCGGCGCGTATCGAGCGATCATCGACGATACCGAATCTCTCGGAAGTTCGCCGAAGGTCCCGTAGGCGCGTGCGCCGCCCGGCTCACGGTTTTTCCGCGGTGTTCGACGGTGATCTCGTGCTGTCCGAAAGCCGTCGTCCCACGGAAGGTGTTGCCGTAGCTGTTTTCAAGGTGCCGGGTGTCACCGCGCACGAAGGGCACACCGTGGGCTCACACTGTCACGAAAACAATTCCCGGATCGTGGGCACCGCGGGCCTATCTCTCTCTCTATCTTTATCTCTCTTTTGCTTTCTCTCTCTATATTGTTCGCCACTCGATTCGCTTCTTCTCACCGTTTACTTCGCTCCTCACCGGCCTCTTTCCACGCGAACCAACAGGCCAGTGTGCGTCTGACACGGTCGGCGCGTGACTGCCGTGACTGACTAGCCGTGAGTGAGTGACTGACTGGTGGGAAGCTGTTACTCGACTCGCTCTCTACGCCCGTGCCGCCACTGAATCTGATGTATCTGATCATCGGCACCGTCTCCGGCTGGCTCGCTCGAAAAAGCTTCTGCTTTGGCGCTTGCGCCACGACGAATCGCTTTTTCGCTTTCGTACACGCCGGTACGCGCGACCAGCCAACACGTTCCTCGCTCGTTCCCTCGCTCGCTCCTTCGTTCCTTCCTCCGCTCCTCGTTTTCGCGAACGCTCTCTCTCTCTCTCTCGCTCTCCTCTCTCTCTCTCTCTCTCTCTCTTTTTCTGTTTCTCTCGCTCTCACGCGCACAGGCTTCGACTACCGTGCACCAGCAGCGATATTACATATATATATAATATGTATATACACATATATAAATGCATGCGCGCGCGTGTGGGTACGTATATATGCGCGCACGAAAGACGAGACAGGACCACGTCTTTGCCCGCGGAAGCGTCGCTCTGTCTGGCGCTTGCACTCGGTGTATTACCGGCTCGCTCGTCTCTTCTCTTAGAATAGTTCGGAACCACGTGCCGGTAACGGGTCACTCGCGACGGAATCGACGCGGAATCGGATCGACCCGCGTATCGCGTGTCCCCGGCGACGGTCCCCGGCCCGGAATGTCCCGGGACCGAAAACAGCGGCGCGCGCGCGCGCGCGCGGCCGGGCCGATAAAGATTTCTTTTTTACAAAGGTTTCGGCGCACGATCGCACTCGCGATAAGCCGCGGGCGGACGTTATCTCTCTCTCTCGGCGCGCGTCGTCGGATCGGCCGGTCGCGTTAACGAGACCGTGTGCGCGCGCGAGATCTCTTATCTCTCTCTCGTTTCCCCGATTTTTCTCTGTCCGGCGGCCCTCTTGCGCTCCGGGCTCTTTTCGTAGTCGATCGATTTACGGGAAACGCGGTTACACGGTTCTCGGAATCCGCCGGCTCGAATCCGTTCGCACCACCACGCGTCGCCTCTGCTTCCTATTCACTGCGCGATCCACCGGCGTGTCGTAGCGATCGCGTGACATCTCATGCTGTGTCCCGTCCCCGTGTCTCTTCTTCGAAACCGAACACCGTCGATTCGGTGGACGCGACGATTCAGTGCCGATATCACCGGTTCTATTCCGACGTGTCTTCGTGTCCACGGACGGCGACCCACGTACACGTATGATCACGTATGTGGACGTATGCTCACGTATGTGGACGTATGTTCACGTATGCGACGTGTATGTTCACGTTTGTACACGTATGCTCACGTATGCAGACGTATCGTAGCGGTGTGTATAGATGTACGTATAAATGTGTGTGTATAGATTGCTCGTTTGGACGTATTTATCGATGGATAGATGGATCGACGTATTTATCGACGGATAAAAGGATCGACGTATTTACCAATGGATAGACGGAAGTATAATATTTATGGATGAACGTGTTTATCGGCGGGTGGTTGGATGAACGTATTTATGGATGGATAGAAGAACAGATTTATCGACGGATAAATTGACGGATGTATTTGTCGACGGATAGTTGGATGTATATATTTATGGATGGATGTATCCACCGATGGATGGACAGATAGATGTGTTTATCGATGGATAAATGGATAGATAGCGTGTATAAATGTGTATGTGTTTGTGGAACTGATGTATTTATGGAGGAATGGATGTACGTGTAACTGGACGTATTTTTGGATAAACGTATTTCTGGATAGACGTATTTCTGGATGAACGGGCGAATGTATTTGTACGGACGAGTGTATGTACGTGTTTACGTATGGACGCGATTATGTATTTACTGACGAATGTACGTATGTATGTCTGGATGGACGATGGTACACACGGTGAGCCGCAAAGAGAGACACACGTTGCGCCGATGTAGCCGACGATGACAACTGTCCGCAGGCCGGTCGAGTCCGTCGCTTTTATGGGGATAGCCGAGCACGCTGCCGCAGCGGGACCCGTGCTCCTATCCGAGTGTGTGCGTACGCGTTTACGTGCTCGATGTACCGCGTTATCGTGCAAGTGCGCGCGTTCGCGGTCTTTCTCTTCCTCTCCCTCTTTCTCTCCTTCTCTCCTTTTCGCGGGCGCGCGCTCTCTCTCTCTCTCACACACGCGCTCGCTCTTTCTCGCTCCCTGTTTCTCTCCTCTCTCTCTCTCTCTCTCTCTCTCTCTCTCTCTCTCTCTCTCTCACTCCGTGGTTCAATCGTTCCTTCCCGGTCTTGTTTGTGCGCGCGCACATGCACACGCCTCCTCGTTGGCCGTTCGTAGGTGTGTGCGTATGCAGAAGCGAATAGGAGATCGTTCCTAGGCGCGGGAGAGCGACTCGAGCCGGGCCCGAGATGCATACACGCGAGAAAGGAAGAAAGAAGGCTTAAGGGAACAGGGGTTCACCGAGAGAGAACCCGTGTCGTCCGGTGTGTGATACTACCTCGATCGCGGTGGGTGTCGCGAATGACTGCGCTGTCCGAGAGGTGTGCGAGAGCGCACCGCGCGTGTGGGTGCTCCCCCATCCCCCCCACCACCGTCGCCGCCACCGCCGCCGCGGCGGCACACCATCTCACGCCGTTTCCATACCGTCTCTCGGCACCATCCCGCATCCACCGCGCACCAACACCGTCGCGATTTCCCACCACCGCCGCCCGGCACCGGCTGCCGGCATGGCACCGCACCACCGACAGGCGTCGCGTCACCGCGCGCCGCTAACAACACACAGCCGAATACAGGCCGGCCGTGTTGTGTCGAGGCAATGGCAGGTAGCGTTGTAAAAATTCTAATGTGCCTACCCCCGTTCGAGCCCCGCTCGCGCGGCCACGAGTTCGACCGAATTTTTCGGACTCCTCGACGACCATCGTTCCCGGTTCCGGTCGTCCGAAACGAATATTCCACGGTTAATTCGCGCGGAAGAGTCGCACGCGTCGCGCGGATCGTGCTTCGCGGATCGGATTCGTTGTTATCGGACTGCGGATTTTATGGATCTGCGATTAAAATGGACGCGTGGTATTTGTAACGATGAAAATATTGGAAGTATTTCGGGGCGTGCGCGTATTATTTTCAACTCGCTGAGATCGGGAAAGAGAGATAGATATTTCTATTCGGTTTATGTTTGTTGCAATTGACAAAAATAATTTATATTTATTTTATATATATTTGTATTGGAGTCTGGGATTCTTAATTTAATCGTCAAATATGACATTTCAATGGTTAATTGCAATTAACGCAATCGTTACTCGTCGATTAAATCTATAATATTAAATACATAATATATAAATATATATATTTATATTATAAAAAATATATATTAATTAACACAATCGTTACTCGTCGATACTATAATATTAAATATGATATAAATATATATATTTATATTATATTTGATATTATAGATTTAATACAATTTAATAAAATAATAATAATAATAATATTATTATTATTAAATATAATATAAATATATATATTTATATTATATTTAATATTATAGATTTGTATCATTATAGATTATTTGTTATTATATATTATATATTTGTCATATACATATATTATTTGTATTATTATAGATTAACGATTGCGTTAATTGCAATTAACGATTGAAATATTATATTTGACGATTAAACTACGAATCCCAGACTCCAATACAAAAATATAATAAAGTAATAAAAACGTGATAAAGACAATTCTCTTAATGGGACCGCATGAAATTATCCTTCCATTTCCGTTCGAAGATCAACAATAATTATTAATTGCCTATTTCGGTGGACGATCGACGATTAATTTCATCGATCGAATAATCCAATCGTCGACTTTTCGCCGATTAATGGCCTTTCAAACGCTGAGTCAACACGACCGATCGCACATTTTTCGATTCACGTTTTATACGAGAAAGTTTGATAAAATTAATTGTAACGTAAACGTTGATAGCTACTAAAGGGTGATCAGGAATTTGTGCAGCATCACTTCCATAATGATGTAAATAAACTTCAATTAATAACCTTGAGTTGATTCAATTAGTTTCGCTTCTTATTCTACTCTTATTAATTAATATCAAGTTACATTTTCTGTTTTTTCTCTCTTTCGCACGGTATATTATAAATTATTAGGAAGATCATTGTTAGAGAATATAATTATTAGAAACTTAAACTTTCACAGCAACAACATTAATTTCGAGATTCTCAAATCTTCGACGACAATTCACATTGCGCTCCCATAATGCACTTTGCAACGAAATTATTAGTTTGCATTATGCATACGTAATTTACGACGTAATTAATCCATTTAATCGATAAATAATAATGACAATAACAATAATAATATAAGAATATTTAAATTTTTTAAATGTGTAAATTGTCGCAGCTCCACCAATTATTCGCAAAATCAATATCAACCAATATTATATATTATTGTATCATTATTATATTATTATTATGTTATTTTTATATTATTGTATTATTATTATTATGTTATTTTTATATTATTATATTATTATTATGTTATTTTTATATTATTGTATTATTATTATATTATTATTATGTTATTTTTATATTATTTTTGTATTATTATTATATTATGATATTATTTTTATATTATTATATTTTTTTTATTATTATTATATTATTATTTTATTATTATGTTATTATTATTATTATATTATTGTATTATTATTATTTGAACAAATGAATAATGAATTGAATTGAAATAAAGGAAAATTCGATGCATAAAGTTAAATGTGCCGGAAAGTAAACAAAAGCCGCAGTAATTGGCAACGCCACAGTAACTGGTACCACTGCCCTATCTCCACAGTTTCGCTGCGTCGCGCCGACGCGAAAGGACAGGAATCGGGGTCTACGGCGATATCCGAAAAGAAGGTAGGTCGGAGAGCGTAGTCCAGGTGTCCATGGATTTTACGAGCGGGACCTTTATGGCGAATTCGGAAGGCCGCTGGTCGAACGACATCGATCCGCACACACACGCACACACACACACACCGTACGCACTGTACGTATGTATATAGACTACGCTGGATACTGCAAACCGTCGTTACGTATGCGAGTCGCGTGCACCACCGCGAGGATTTGCATCGTACGCGCATCGAACGTATTTAACGTCTACGTCATTCTGACGCGTGTCGCGAATCAACGAGCCGAATGAAAACTCCGCGGCGATCGCGCCTCCATTCACGGTGCCCCGGGCCTGGCCCTCATTGATGTATTCCCGTTCCCATGGATGCTTATCGGCGTGTGTATACGCGTACACGTATCTCCGGGAATTCCTGCTTCGTCCAGGCCAGGCCAGGAGGCCGGCCGATTCTCTCGCGCGCGCGGACAACGAGAGGCTACGCCGTGCCGTCTCAATTCGGTTACATCACGCCGCAAAAAAAAGCGTGCATGTACTTCTTGCACACCGGCAGATTCCGCGGGCGGTTCGTTTCCATCTGGCCGCCGCCGCCCCCTCGCAGCCGTCTCTCTATCGCCGGTGTAATTAACATGGATTATGCTCGGACACGGTTTATCAGCTTGTAAACTTTATTAGCTTGTAAGGTGCGACGTGGATTTTCATACGTTCGCGGATTTAAACATTTTCGTCGCAGTTTCCGACGATCGGAGACTTTCCGGAATTTCTTCGGAGGGGAAGAAGAAGATTTGTATTTAGTATGGAATGATTAATGCGAAATTGAAATTGTTATAGACGATCGGAAGAAATGGGAACGAAATGGAAGTAGATTGTTTGTTTTGGTAATTTCGAAAATAATTTAATAATTAATAATTATTATTATTATTCATAATTGATATAATTAATATTATCTAACATATCAATATTAATCAATATAATTAATACAATTATTGTTATTGATAATATCCATATTAATTAATATAATTAATAACATCAATAAAAATTAATATACTNATATTATTATTATGTTATTTTTATATTATTTTTGTATTATTATTATATTATGATATTATTTTTATATTATTATATTTTTTTTATTATTATTATATTATTATTTTATTATTATGTTATTATTATTATTATATTATTGTATTATTATTATTTGAACAAATGAATAATGAATTGAATTGAAATAAAGGAAAATTCGATGCATAAAGTTAAATGTGCCGGAAAGTAAACAAAAGCCGCAGTAATTGGCAACGCCACAGTAACTGGTACCACTGCCCTATCTCCACAGTTTCGCTGCGTCGCGCCGACGCGAAAGGACAGGAATCGGGGTCTACGGCGATATCCGAAAAGAAGGTAGGTCGGAGAGCGTAGTCCAGGTGTCCATGGATTTTACGAGCGGGACCTTTATGGCGAATTCGGAAGGCCGCTGGTCGAACGACATCGATCCGCACACACACGCACACACACACACACCGTACGCACTGTACGTATGTATATAGACTACGCTGGATACTGCAAACCGTCGTTACGTATGCGAGTCGCGTGCACCACCGCGAGGATTTGCATCGTACGCGCATCGAACGTATTTAACGTCTACGTCATTCTGACGCGTGTCGCGAATCAACGAGCCGAATGAAAACTCCGCGGCGATCGCGCCTCCATTCACGGTGCCCCGGGCCTGGCCCTCATTGATGTATTCCCGTTCCCATGGATGCTTATCGGCGTGTGTATACGCGTACACGTATCTCCGGGAATTCCTGCTTCGTCCAGGCCAGGCCAGGAGGCCGGCCGATTCTCTCGCGCGCGCGGACAACGAGAGGCTACGCCGTGCCGTCTCAATTCGGTTACATCACGCCGCAAAAAAAAGCGTGCATGTACTTCTTGCACACCGGCAGATTCCGCGGGCGGTTCGTTTCCATCTGGCCGCCGCCGCCCCCTCGCAGCCGTCTCTCTATCGCCGGTGTAATTAACATGGATTATGCTCGGACACGGTTTATCAGCTTGTAAACTTTATTAGCTTGTAAGGTGCGACGTGGATTTTCATACGTTCGCGGATTTAAACATTTTCGTCGCAGTTTCCGACGATCGGAGACTTTCCGGAATTTCTTCGGAGGGGAAGAAGAAGATTTGTATTTAGTATGGAATGATTAATGCGAAATTGAAA